TTGCTGCAATTAAAGAAGCAGGAAATGTTAAGGTACTGCTCTTTCAATCTTTGATTCCACGGTACTTTTTTTATTCTAAATTAGTAATCTATTTGAATAGGAATGTGCTCTTGTGTCCTCTGCATGGCAAAACAGTAATCCTAGATGTGAAGGGTTTTTGGTCCTCTATAATGAGCATCTCTTTTAAGGGTTTTTATTTTGTAGTTTCGTATAATTTAGATGTTAAGATAATTTTTTTAAAGAATAAGACTGCAAAATATATTTTCATTTAGATAAAGTCATAAGAGTTAAAATCTTTTGTTCTGTTAAATAATAATTTTTTATCGTTACTTAACATATACATGATACGTGATCGTTCAATAATAATTTTTTACCGTTAAATAACGGATATGTCAACTGTTTTTTAATAGAAAAACTAACTTGGAGTCAAATTAGTAAATAAGGACTAAATTAGGGACTTTTTTAGTTTAAAGACCAAATTAAAGATATATAAAATAATTGAGGGACCAAATTGAAATTTTAACCTCTTTTTCTTCTTCTTCGTCTTCTTCTTTTTTGAACTTGTTTGCTTAGAAGGCAACTTTACTTAAAAAGTGGTTAGGAAAAGTAAGTGTGAATGTCTAGTAGCTTAGAATGCTTATAGTGACTTTATATTTACATTTGTATCCTGCTATGTCCATGTAGCAATTGTTAAGGCAATCTCTAAATGTAAATAATTATTTAATTATCTAAATTTATTATACACATAGTTTAAATTTGTAATTAGTGTTATAAGTTATACTTCCATTTTAGGGTATACTGCCATGCTATAGAGATTCTAATATAATCTCATATTCTATTCTCAATAATAATCTCTATTTTCAATTGAAAAACAAATCTTTAATTCTGCTGTTTTAATTTCATTGATTCCAAGTCTCCCTAAATTAGTAGTATCTTTGGGCCCAGTATCTCAAAGTGGTAAGAATTTGGAACTGTTTGAATCTTAAGTTCAAACTATGAGAAAGATGAAAAAGATACAGTTCATTATACAATGTAGATTGTAGAGAAAGTAGTATGTTTGATAATTTTGCATTTTTTTTTTTTTATGGTGAGGTTCTAATATTTTATTGTTCTTGTTCATGTTAATTCCAAATTCTAGAAGTTACAACTGTTACATGAATTTTCTACATATAAATGCAGAGGTTCTTCCCTTCAGAATTTGGAAATGATGTGGACCGCTCACATTTTGTTGAGCCAGCAAAATCAGCACTTGGGAGCAAAGTAAAAATCCGCAGAGCTGTTGAGGCTGCTGGTGTTCCATACACCTATGTGTCCTCCAACTTCTTTACCGGCTTTTTCCTCCGAACATTCTCACAAATTGGAGCTACAGCACCCCCCAGAGATAAAGTCGTCATTTTAGGGGATGGAAATCCTAGAGGTAAATAAATATTGTCTTCTTCAAGTTGAACTTTTTTTTTTTTTTAACAGTACATCGGGAGTTAGCTGTTTGTTAATGTAGGGGTTGAATTTCTTCGTTCGTGTGTTAATTCTCCTCTTAACGGCATCATGTTGTGATCCACAGCTGTTTTCAACAAGGAAGAAGATATTGCCACATACACTATCAAAGCTGTGGATGATCCAAGAACCTTGAACAAAATCCTTTATATCAGACCTCCCCTTAACACGTACTCATTCAATGATCTCGTGCCTTTGTGGGAAAGGAAGATAGGCAAAACCCTTGAGAGGATCTACGTTTCAGAGGAACAACTGCTGAAGAATATCCAAGGTTGGTTTAAAACCCAATTTCTCTGTTCTGCAGAACATCTTGGTATTGGATTTGGATAGTTGTAATGGACTAACTGAAATTGGCCTGTTTCATTCTCACGGTAGAATCTGCCGCCCCTCTGAACATAGCGCTCTCAATTAGACACTCCGTGTTGGTGAAAGGAGACCACACCAACTTTGAGATTGAACCATCATTTGGAGTTGAGGCTTCGGAGCTCTACCCTGATGTTAAATATACTACCGTGGATGAGTACCTAGATCAGTTTGTGTGATTCTTATGCTTTAGTTAAGCTTTGCAATCTTAAAAAATTAGGTGGTGTTGGTTCATGTTTCCAGTGTGCGCTACAGTCTGATTCTCTTTTGCTTGTGTGACTTCTGTAGATTCTGTAAGATGACATCCAGCTACAATGTCCATTAACAAAAAGCCTGAACAGAAAATTTTAGTTCGTCTGATTCTCTTGGTTTGTTACAATTGCTCCGAACACACACCCAACAGAATACTTGTTTTTTTCTTTCACCTATAGCATAATTATTTGAATCGAATCACAAACAACTGGACTAACATTAAAAATAAAAAAAATAAAAATAAAATTAAAAAGAAAAGAAAAGAAAAGAGAGAGAGGGCCAGCACTACCGGGCCAAAAAGGTCATATTTTGTAGACTTGAAACTGTCTTAGTCATGCATGCCCATCTTTCCTTTGTTTCCCTTCTTTCCGGAAGACCTAACAGAACCTCTACCTTTCTGAGCCTTTCCGTTCTTTCCCTTCTTTGACCTGCCTTTGCCTGGCTTGTCCATTCCCCGTGTCCTTGCATCCTTTTTCATCCTTCGATCAACAAGGACCTTACCCTTGCCAGCCTTGACTTGAACTCCTTTCTTTGCCACCACAAATTCCTTCTTTGGTCTCTTGGGCGTAGCCTTCTTATATAGCTGTTCAATTAGCTTCCCCTTCGAACGGTCTGAGATGTCTGCTTGCTCTGATATACTGTTTGCTTTCTTCCGAACCTTCTCAAGCTTCCTCATGGCTGCCCGCTTCTTTCGGGCTTTTGCCTCTGCAACCTTCTTAGCAGGCCGGGCATTAATATCTTTGAATTGTGCTCGCATAGCAGCAATCTCTTCTTTAGTGACAGGCTTAATTGGTTGACGGTGCCTCCTCTCTTCCTCCAAAAACCATTTGGGCAAGCCCTCATCATCAAACATGTACTTGTTGTAAGCATCATCCAGTATTTGTTCCCTTTGCTTCTTTCTCAGCATCTTCTTAGCACAAGCCAGAATCTCAGCTTTGGTGTCGGCATCCTCATCCTCTGAATCATCTGAAGATGAATCACTTGAATCAGTAGCTGGAGCTGGGACAATCTCAAAATCATCTTGTACCTTAGAAGCCTGGGCCTGTGTCCGATTAGGGCCTCCAGCATTGTTCATTGTTTTTTCCTTCACCTTCTTTGGGATAGAAGACTGTTCTTCTTGCCCCTTCTTTACTTTGGCTTTCTCTGGACTGGAAGGTCTTTCCTCTAGGTTGTCTACCAGCATTTCATCCTCACTATTGTACTTCCCCAAATCTCCCTCCCCTACAGCTTCAGCAAAAATATCCTGACCAAACCACTTGTTTGTGATCTCCTCTTGAGTGGGCACCTTCCCATCATCCAGTGGTACCATGAGAGGATTTGCTTCAGGATCATCCTCATCTTTGTCTGAATCTTGGTCAGAAAGAATGATATCATCATCACCACCCTGTACAACCAAGTAGGAAAATTATATCCAACCATCCATAGTAATAGGGCCTGGATTTTTAATACCATCTTCAATCAATGATGTATAAGACAATGAGTAAGCATCACAGGCAAGTATATCAAACTGCGATCTTGCAAAAGAACTAGGACATAAAGCATATGACAAAGAATATCAGCAAATTCAAAAGATCAACCTCAGGCTTACATCAAATCATGCATATGACAAAGAATATCAGCAAACAAGGTATTGTATCAGAAACAACAAATAGACATTGGGCACAGAAATGTTTTCAGATGCAAGAGACCAATCTTTGCTAAAATAAGATGAAAAATGCCATACAAACATTTAAACAATTACATATTATAACTTGTCAGTTAATGCTAGTCAGACAGAACTCAGATGCTAACCATGTTGACTTCTCAAATATATCCATAATAAATTCACACACCTCCAATTGCTCAGAATAGGATTGTTTTGCACGCTTCCGCTGCTTTGTGCTTCCATCCTTTTTGGAGACAAAACGTTCATAAGCCTGATCGAGAATCTCTTCAATTTGCTCATCATATCTAGCATGAAAAATTACACGATTAATTTACACAGAAAACTTTAGTTTTGCAATCTTATTGCTTAAATTAATCTTAGCTATAAACATAGAAGCAAGATGATTAACCTTCTTCGTTCCTGATCAGAATCAATATCACTGGATGAGTTGTCCTCTGTTTCCTCTTTTTTTTCTTCATCTTCGCCTCCCACGTCTTCATTTCCATCATCATATTCAACGGCCACCAGCTCTTTCTTGCCCTGAAGACAATAATAAACAGGCATAACTATTTCAGGAAGATACCAGCACAACCACCAATAGCTTCAGTTTGTGACAGAAAAAGACAAGGGACACTCATATTTCTCAAACCTTTACAATGTATTGTGATAAATGTTAAACACCTCAAGGAGATGGAATAAAACCCAAAACTTTAAAAACTAATTAAAAGCATATGCAAACTAATTTCAAAAGAGAGGTGGAAGTGAAAGGCTGAAACCATACCTTGATGGAAGAAAGAGAAAACAACTCATTGTCAACATAACCATCTTCCATGGCATCTATTTGCATTCCTGTGGCCTTCCGTGCCTTATCCTGTAATTAGCAATGCTATAAATCAGCTATCATGACCTAATTAGCATGAATGTCAATATGCTATGATTTACAATTCAAATTGGAACCCAAAACCCACCCAGGCTCAACAGACTATAATAGGATTCTATATAGATTTGAAACATTGAAACAGAAGTTTACATAAAATCATAATGATTTGAATCTTGAACACATTTTAAACAGAATTTAGGCTTATGATACTTTTGGCTTTTGGCTGATAGTACATACCAATAACATTAGTGCATGACCCATAACAAACAAAAAAAAAAGAAGAAAATTAGTCACCATCAAGTTTACTGCTTAACTACGTATAACAATATATATTTACCCCATTCTCATAATTTACATATGGGGTACATAAACAGATAAATAGTAAATACACAGAGAAATGGAATGTATAATGCACCTTAGCTCGTCTTTTTGCAAGAAGCTTCTTTGCTCGCTTCTTCTTGCGTTCCATTGCATATGTTAGCTCCTCCATTTCATTTAGTAATTTATCATCTGGATCCTCTTCTTCTTCCTTTTCAACATCTTTTACAGGAGTACAAGTAGCCTTTTCTGAAGGAGACAAAGCTTTTCTTATGTGCATTCGCCACCTACATGACAAAACAAGCACCCAAAAAAAAATAATAACAATAATAAAGAGTTTGAAGTATATTTTACACCAGCCAAACGATGGGCACAAACCATCTATAACATCTAACCAACTATAAAATCAAGCACAAGTATCATAAAAATGCAATAAAACCCCTTTCAGACACTCAGCACCAACTTTAAAAGGCCAGAAAAACAAGGATGCATACATGCATATCTAGTGATAAAAACATGGTTGCTTTATTTCTCCACAAGCTGTGCAGATATATCAGAAAGACTTAACTAAAAAGGTTGCAAAGGATGTGTACTATATCTTACTTCAATATGTGCTTGAAATCTTGCTTTCCCAAAACACGCAGGTCATCACAAAGAGCTTTAACCTGGCAAAATAATGGCAGCCTAAGTGGTCCAAACTTGAGAGGACAGAAAACGATGTCTAATGAGAGAACTTAAGCAACAAGTACCTCTTCTGTTGTTAAACTGTGATCCTTAATGGGGAAAGAAGCTGCATCATCAAATGTTATGGAAGTAACCGAACCCAGGATCTCAAGAGGAGAATCTGACCAAATGAAATCAGCAGCTGAAGATACTTTCCTCAAGATTGTAGCTCCATCTTCATACCTGTGATTGGAAACGAGTTACTCAAAAAGATAATACAGATCATGCTCATAATACTGCACAGGAAGTTAGGAGCATACACAAAGAAAATGAGTAACAACACAGATATGCACAGTACCAATACACAGTGAGTGATATTTTGCCACTTGCATAAACAACATGCTCTTTCATTATGATCACAATTCACAATTAATATTTGTCCTTTCACTCTTGTGTTGAGCAGAATATTTTGTACTCTATTGAGTATTGCAAGCTTATAGTTATCACTCAAAACCAAAGAACACATGCAGAGACTGATTTTGACTATATAATGGAAACTCTTCTTATCTACTTCCATGATTTATAACAGAAATGATGGCTCACCCATCACGGTGTCTCTTTTGTTTTGTTCCTCGAAGTACATCAATCACCTGTCAAGAATGAGAGAAGCAATGTCATTATGGCAATGTTTTTATTTTTTTGGGGCGGAGGGGGGATCTCAAAGGGATAAGTAGCATAAGTTACGCTTAAGAGACAATGATTTAAAAGAAAAAACAACCTTATTCTGTGGCTCTATAGATCCCTGAAATAGGTGCTTCACATCTAGAAGACGTGGATCAATCTTTGCAGGAGCCTTGTACTTTAAACCCAAAACAAATATCTCAGCTGATGCGGAACGACTAGCTGCTGGCTTGTCCACCTCAACCTTTTCGAATAACTGCAGAACAAAACCAATATCAGAAGGATTAGCAATTGGGAGTTACATGATCACAATATCAGAAAAGGAAGGAAGAAAAGCACCTGCTTGAGGCAGTAGATGACAGAGCTGTAGTCTTGTGACCTGAAAACCTAAACCCACGGAGAAAAACAAAAATTTAGCATGCAAACTTGAACTAATATGTGCTTCATAATATGTAGACGGCCATGTCTCTAATCTCTTTTCACCAACGCCTAAGAAAAAATAGTAAAATTCAATATCTTCAATTCAAACAGACTCAAACTCTTTCCACCCTCACTGGAAAACAAATACATAACATGTAAACTGCATAAATAACCTCTCAAACTCAAGGCCATAGCCACCTAATTCCTCAAATGGTAGCTTCTGATTTCTAAGAAAAAACGTCAAATAACATAACATAGTGATCGAGACCCTTCATTTCTGGAGTAACCAAAAGGAAATTTAGCCAAATGCTAGCTTAGATACCTTAGTGACGAAGTTCCCTTTAGGAGCCAAGAACTGAGTAGCTAGTTTCACCGCGTCGATAACCAAGGCATTCTGGCTCATCGCCTCCTGCGCCCAGGCGCCTCCAACATTAGGAGACCCATCATGCAAAACCAAATCAAAAGCCCTTACACCATGCTCTTCCATGACCTTCTTAACCTTAGTCTTGCATTCAGGCTTCGTTATGTCCTGCTGTAGGGAGATAGAACCACGGATAGGAGCAATGGGAACAAGGTCGAGGCCGAGAACGAGGCTGCCTACAGGCACACGCTGCACCGCCACCTGCATCCAGCCACCAGGGGCGGCGCAGAGATCGAGAACGGCATGAGATGAAGAAAGAAAGGAGAATTTAGAGTCCAGTTGGACCAGCTTCCATGAAGCTCTGGAACGGTAGCCTTGTTCTTTGGCTAGATGGTAGTACTTATCCAGCCGATGCTTGCCCTTCACTTTCCCCATGATTGAGTTGAGCTTTTTCGATGGAGTCTTTCTTCTTTCCTCCCTTCCCTGTTAGAGAAATGGAAAGAGGCGAAGGGACAAGAAAATCAGGGTTTTCGGCTTACATATAAACCAACTGCCTTTCTAGGTTTAGGGTTTTGGTCTTCTCATATCTGTCGGACCCGTGGAAATAATTAGTACTAAAATACTTATAATATTTTATTAATTAATTAATATATCTGCATTATATTAAATATTAAATAAAAGTTATTGACAACTTATTAATATTAGTGGAAGGAAGTCAGTTTTTTTAAATTAAAATTTTAACTTTAAATTTTATAAATAAAAAAATAAGTATTGGAAGAGTTTCCTCTAATAAGATTTTATGTCGATTTTTTATTAATCGAAATCTAATATAATTATTGAGAGGTTAATAAAAAAAAATTAGAAGTTACATCTTCTAATGTTAAGATCTTTTCTACTCAATAATTTATATTTTATAATTTATTACCGTCTATATTATAAAATAAAATTCTCTTTTATTAAATAGCATGAAAGAAATGTTATATAATTTAATTTATACCAAATTATACAATACTAATTATTAGGTGAAGGATGGGATGATTGATATTAGGACTCCTTCCCAACTATATTATAAAATAAAATTCCCTTTTATTAAATAGCATGAAAGAAATGTTATATAATTTAATTTATATCAAATTATACAATACTAATTATTAGGTGAAGGATGGGATGATTGATATTAGGACTCCTTCCCAATTTACTCATGTTTTATAATTTGAAACATTTTGAATTATAAAATAGAGTTGTAGATATTATTATAGAAAGATATTCAAATTTTCTCAGAGTAAATGTTACATTAAAAATATAATTTTAAAAAGATTTAATATACAATTTATCTTATAAAGCTTTTTTTTATTATAAAAAACTGAAGTACAATTGATTTTATATGTATTACATTTCTCATAATTATTGATAGGTGAAGGAACTCCTTTAAAAACTTTATCAATAATTAAAAATAGTGTAGTTTGTAGCAGGTAAACTTCACAACAGCATTCTCATGGTATTAAAATATAATTATAAATAAATTTACCATATTACTTAAAGGGTTGTCCCATAAGGTACAAATTAAAGATCTTGAAAAAATAAAAATTGACATTGAATTTATTAATCATCTAATTAAAATTATTTGCATGATAATAATATTAAAATTAAAGTTAATTTTTATATATTTTATATAAATTTATGATAT